TTCATCATCTTGTCATGAAAACCCTGAAAGCATTGAACATCTTTTCTATAAATGTGAATATACAGTTGCCCTCTGAAGAGATCTGTTGTTTAAATTGATAAATCCACCAAGTAGAATATGTATGATACTCCCAGATTCAGATGAATCACTGATAGTAAATTTTATTGGTCTACTAACACGAAAACATATTTATCATTATAAAATGAATGACATGAAACCCAACTTTAAGTGTTTACTACCATATGTAAAGAGAGTATACCAATGTGAAAGCTTTATTGCCAAAACAAACAACAAAACCTAAAAAAAATGAAACCCACCAATACCATTTATAAGATAATTTGGAGAAAAGCAAATTGAAAACAAATATATAGAAAAGTAACTCTTATAAAACTCTGGAATGTAAACATTGTTACTGTGTGTATAAGATTATCCAATAAAAAGTCATAAAACTGTTGATAGCCTTTGTGCATACTTTGTGGTATTTGTGTTATGACTTTGTATTCAACTATTTGAATAGTCTTTGGAATAACTGGCACAAGATTCTCACATTATCGACTGAAGAAGAAATAAACATCTATTTTTCTCATATATCTCACCCTCCATCCTATTTTATTATTATGCGAGTTGTGGTGTTATGACGATATTAAAAGTAACAGTAACAAATTGAAATAATTTAATAACGTCTTGGTATGGGTTGAAATTCAACAACTTGAGAATGTTTTAATAAGATTTAAAATGATTAGAAAATGGCTTCTTTTAATGAGGTTTTTCTAATAATCGCATGACATCAATGATTTTGGTGGTCCAAAATTTGAGCTTGTCACAATTCCATCTCTGAGGTCAATATTATCCTGTGTAAACCTGCAAATATATTAATTATTTTATAATTTCTGCATTTTTTAAAATATGTTGTAATAACTTCAAATTTGATTGGATTTCAGGTGCTGATATTTGCAGAAAAGAAATCTGATGTTGATGACATTCATGAGTATTTGTTGTTAAAAGGAGTGGAAGCTGTCGCAATACATGGAGGCAAAGGTATACACGTGCTATGGATTAAGGAAGGGGGAGGGGCTACCCTCTAATTAACCAGTGTAAATGCTTTTTGCCAGAATTCTTTTCATGC